AAGAAAGGCCACTGGTAGCTCCCTGAGAGGGAACAGTAAGTGCCAAGTCATGGGCAGGTGCAAAATACAACAATTCCACAATGTTTTTTAGGGTACAGGGCTTCCCTGATAGCTCAGACAGTAAAGACACCACCCACAATGCTGGAGACCTGGGTTCGATCCCTGGGTTGGGAAGATCCCCTGGAGAAGGAAAAGGCTACCTGCTCCAGTATTCTGGCCTGGAGAACTCCATGGTCTGTATAGTCCATGGGGTTGCAAAGAGTCGGACACGACTGAACGAATTTCACTTAAGGGTACAAGCAGCATTTAGCCTTCAGAGTCAACATCCCACCTGGAAGAAGGTCTTCGATTCAGTCTCCTCCCTGGTCCATTATAGTGTGTTTGCTTCATGGGTTTTTCCCAGTGTTATTGAGATATAATTCACATGTAAGGTTGCATAGGTATACTGTGTACAAGGTGATGATTTGATGCATGTATATATTTCAAAATGTTTACCTCAATCAGATTAGCTCACATCTCCTCTCCTCACATAATTACCATTTTTGTTGTCATTTCTGTTATGGTGAGACTGTATAGTCAACTCTGGTCACCTTGCTATAATTAGATCCCCAGAACTTATTCACTTTATAGCTGAAAGTTTGTGGCCTTTGACTGACATATTCCCATTTCCCTCTATTCCCAGCCCCTGCCAGGCAGCCACATTTCTACTCTGATTCTATGAGTTTGATATTTTTAGGTTTCATATATAAGCAAGATCATACAGTATTTGTCCTTCTCTGTCTGACTTACTTCACTTAGCCTGATGCACCTGTGCTTTCTGCTTCCAAACTCCTCCTGTATGGCTTCCCTAGAGAGCCATGAGGATCCCTTCCAAAATTCCCATCTGGATGCTGGGCGTCTCTGGGTTTGGGGCTGCAGGCCTGGTAGGAGTTGGGGTTTCTGCAATCACTGGATGGTTTGGGGGCTGCAGTGCTCCTAAGCCCTGGAGCACACGTGCACGCCACACGGCACCAAGAGACGCGACGGGGCAGGTGTTCAGGTTCCTCTTCCCAGCTCTCAGCTCACAGCTGCCGGCTCCAGGAAGACTTCAGTCATCCGGGAGCCACCTCTTCCCCCTTTGATGTTCACGACAGGCATTTCTTCACTTTGTCTCTGTTTTATATACGTACTCTCCTGCCAGACTGGGAAATTGTGCAGGGCTCTGTCTAGCAGATCTGGGGAACAGGATAAGGCAGTGTTTATGGGCAGAGTTTTGAAGCCCGCACACTTCTGCCACCTCTCCACAGAGGTCGTCATACACACGGCACCCCAAGTTCCTCCTCTCAAATCGTCATTTAGTCTCTTTCTGTAGGAAATGCCCTTGGAATTTTGATAGGGCTTGAATTAACTCTGTAGATCACTTTGGGTGGTAAGGGCATTGTAACAATATTGTCTTTCAGTCCATAAACAAGGAATGTCTTTCCGTTTGTGTCTGTCTTCTTTAATTTCCTTCCTCAATACTTTGTTTTCAGTATATGTCTTCACTTCCTTAGCTAAGTTTATTTCTAAGTATTTTATTCTTTCTGATGCTCTGGAAATTGAGATTGTTTTCATCATTTCTTTATCAGGTAGTTTGCAATTAGCATATAGAATCACAACTGATTTTTCAGTGGTGACTTTGTATTTGGCTTTACTGAATTGATTAGGTCTAGTAGTATTTCTGTGGAGGCTTTAGAGTTTTGAAAAGGAGGTCTAAACTTCACACGGAACCCTAGTAATTTCTCCAAATTATTCTATACATTTAATAAAGTGTGAATTAAAAAATCTCAAGAGGGGATCACCAAAGTTGAGAAAATTATTCTAAAATTTATTGGGAAAACTAAAGTACTGAGGAAGCATTTTTAAATCAAGTGGAAAGGATGGATGACTCAGTAAAAGGTACTGGAATATTGACATTCAAATGGGGAGGGAGACTAATTCCAATCTCTGCTTCACATATCATTCAATAATGAATTTCAGTTGGATTAAATATCTTAATTTGAAATGCAAAATTTAACATGCCCTATACAAAATAGGAGACTAACTTTACAACCTAAGAGTGGGAAAAGAATTTCTTTTGTAAAAAAAATGCTAGAAGTTTATCTCTACAATTTTTTACCAAAAATATTGGAAAAGACTGAAAGTATCCCTAGTCCTAAAAGCAAAGTTTTCTCAAATCTGAGGATAGCCTTTTCCTAGCTGTTTGTTTTTCAGAAGTCAAAGTTGGACTATGAATTGCTCAGAGTCCTCTATTTTTTTCCCATAATGAAATGTAGCTGTGACACTTACTGTTAGAAATCTCTGGAATCAGGGATCAGTGGTCAGTGTAAGCTAGCTAGGAAACGGGTTCGGAAGGTTTTTTGTGACTCTGTTTTCACACATTCTGGTTGTTTTTCAGTGATGCTTCAGTGAGCTGCCTATGGAGAGGTGCCTTCTTGGCAGGGGAGGCTTGAGTTGGTCTGTCTTACTCTAATGTTTCAAGGCTTCTGTGCTTTGCACATAAAAGCAGGAATAGAGTGATAAGTAAACAACCAGTAAGAACCATGATAGAACAATGTTTTAAAATAAAATGCACTGTTAAAACTATTGACCCACAGAAGGTTGCAACTGCATACAGAAAATTCACATATACCAGGGAAAAGATTTTTTTTTCATTTTTAAAAATTGAATTATAATTAATTTACAATATCCTGTTAGTTTCAGATGTACAGCACAGTGGTTAGTTATACACACACACACACACACACACACACACACACACACACACACACACGCCTGAATATTCTTTGGATGGACTGATGCTGAAGCTGAAACTCCAATACTTTGGCCACCTGATGCAAAGAACTGACTCACTGGAAAAGACCCTGATACTGGGAAAGGTTGAAGGCAGGAGGAGAAGGGGGCGACAGAGGATGAGATGGTTGGATGGCATCACTGACTCAATGGACACGAGTTTGAGTAAACTCCGGGAGTTACTGGTGGACAGGGAGGCCTGGCCTGCTGCAGTTCATAGGGTCGCAAAGAGTCAGACATGACAGCAACTGAAGTGAACTGAACTGATACACATTCATACATATATATTTTTTTCTCTTTCATATCTAGGAAAAGATTTCTTAAACAAGATGTACAAAGCAACATCCTTAAATGAAATTCTTAAAATCGAAGCAAACTGATAATTTATATAATCCACAATACTAAGAGAAATATTATTTTATATTATATATAAATATACAAATAATCCTGGCATATTAATAAATAAAAGCTGTACAATCCATTGCAGGGTTGAGGAACTGGTCAAATGATAAATAAAATCAAAGGAGAGGAAATCTAAACATTTGACAAAACATGCCCATCATTTCCCTCATTAACTTACAATAACGTCGTGCTCATTTACCAGACAGTGGTGTCTGTCTCTAGACTCTTGTTTCTTAGGTCCACTGGCCCACCAAACAGAGTGGTTTCTGCCACTTCATCCCTATGGCTTGGTCCAAATCTGTGGTGTCCAATAGAGTAGTCATTATCACCCATCACTATTTAAATTTAAGTAAAATTCAATTCCTTGGTCACATTAGCCACATTACCAGTGCTCAGTAGCCATATGTTGCCAATGGCTGCCACGCTGAATAGAGTAGGCATAGAATATTTCTATGGTTATGAAAGCTCTGCTAGACATTGTTCTTAAACTTATGTAAGGTTCAGTATCATTACAATAGGGTGAGTCTCCTTTCATTCTTCCTTATCTTTAAAATTTCTTTGGCTCTTACTTTTCCAAATAAATTTGAAGTCAAGTAATCAAAGAAATGTAAATTAAAACAACAATGATACACCACTCCATGGCAACTTCAATCAAAGCATTACTTCTATGAAAATGGAAACTCTGAACACAGTGGAAGTACATGAGATGAGCAGGTTGAAAAAGGAGTGTGTGTGTATGTTTGTGTGTGTATAGGTATGATGCAATGACACAATTTAGGCAAATTTTACAAGAACCCCTCTGAATAGAATAAGCTATTCTATTTATTGTTAATTGATCATAATTATAGCTAATCTTGATTAAGCATCCATCTTTTTTCCAGGCTCTGTTCCAGGCACTTTAAATCTATTAACGTTTGACGATTGCACCCAAGATTAATTTACGATCATCTCCCTTATTTGACTGAAGCACAGAAAAGTTAAGCAATTTGCCCCAGGTTACCCAGCTAGTTGGTGCAGAGTTGGAGCTCATAGCCAGGGTGTCTGGCTTCCAAGTCTGCATTCAAAACCACGGTGCTGTTCTGGAATCAGACCAAATGACAGTCAGCAGACATGTGCGGGAATGCATCCAGAGAGGGAGAGAATGGAAATGGGAGGTAGGGCTTCGCCTCCTGTATAATGTGTTAGGGAGAGAGGGGGTGGTGGGGAGAGAGATAGGAATATGGCAGATCTGAAGGAAAGAGAAGAGAAAGTGTTAACCTCAGTCAAATTAGGTCAGTGGGTACTCGGGTGTCATCATTTGCTTTTTGAGTGTATGTTTTTTAATTAATAAAGTAAAAAAAAAAAAAAAGGGTATATTGTGAGATGAAGAAAGTCTCCGAGGACTTGTTTATGATCTTAAGTCTGCTAACTAGACTTCTCTGTTGTTAAGAGTCATCCCTTTCTGGTTTGTAGGGCGAAATGTGACAGGTGAAAGGCTTTTGAGGGGCCCCTGATAAGGACGCAGACCCAGGGGACAGGAGTGTCAGCTGGGGGAGATTCTTGGGGCAGAGGGAGGAGGGGCGAAGGGAAGCTGGACCAACATGGACTGACCACGGTTAAAGAGAATTTCCCAGAATCCTCTGGTGCTTAATGGAATCTCCGCAGCCCTTTCCCCAGTAAAGCCTCAGGAAAAAAAAAAAAATCTACATGTTCCATGTCTTTGGCTGTCACATTACTATTTTCTTTTGGACCGTGGAGGGGGCGAGGCGGGCGGGGGGGTGGGGCGGTGGGAACATGCAAGACTGGCCTCAGGGAGACCACGGTGTGCAGGCGATGATGGGCTGCCCCGGCGGGTAAAGTGATACTCCAGTTACAGACACAAAGCATCTCTCCTTGGCACTCTGTAGGCCCTGACGGCAGCCAGCGCCGTCAGCCAGCATCCCTTCCCCTGGAGGCCTCTTCTCACACGGCGCTTTCCGTGGTCCCGCGAGTCCAGGGCCCCAGCTCCACACCCGCGTCACCTGACGCAGAGCTCCCGCCCCGGCGTCCGAGGCCCAGAGCCTCCTTGGCCGTCTCGCTGATGCCAGCTCACGTGTGGGGCTTCTTTGCACAACCGCTGTCCTGGGAGCAGGCGGGGAGGAGTGGCAAGATGGGGCCGAGGCGGGCAGGTCTGGGGCAGCTGCCCCGCGTGACTGCCAGACACCCGCCGAGCCAGCAGAAGGGCACGGGGTAGGAGGGTGAAGGAGGTGCTGGGGGCAGCCTCCCCTCCACCCTTGCCCTGCAGCCGGTCTGCCCCAGAGCACCGAGCCCCCTCCACCCCCGATCCATGGCTTCTTTCCAGCGAGCGCATCAGTCCTGTCGGACGAGCAGGTTCTTAGGAAGCAAGCGCCCAGCGAGGCCCAGGCCGGCTCCGACCCTGCTGCGGCCCCTCCTCGGGCACAGAACGAGTTTCCCAGATCCTGGGACCCTGGCCGGCCTGCCGGCTTCCACTCCAGCAGCAGCCCTCGGGCTGCCCCGCACCGTCCAGCCGTGGGGCGGCCGGCTGTTCCCACACAGGCTGGCACACTGGTTTCCAAGCCAAAAAGCTCCAGAGGAGAACGAGAAAGTGCTGGGGTTTAGGGCATCTTGCAACTCAAGGAAGCCCCGTGAGCCCCGCCGATGAACGCGCACGGGTGAACACTTCCCCACCACGTGCTGACGGGGCTCCCGGGCCAGCTGAGAGGTGAGGGGACCTGTCGCAGCTCCTCCCCACGCCTCTGCACCCCGCCTGGAGGTGCGGACTCACGGAGGGGCCGGGGTAGACTGGCGGTGAAGAAGGGCCTCCGGGGGGAACCAGGCCCGTGAGCCGCCATCTTGGCGGCAGGTCCTCGGGGGTGGTTTCCTGAGCTCCCTTGTTTTTATCAGAGTGGCAACCTCTGAGGACTTCTGAAATTAGGACTAAAAACATGCTTACCTGGCTAGTTTCCCTCATTGGGTCTACTGGGGACAACGACATGCTATTTTCCTATTTCTCAAAATACTCTGCCTATTATCAATTCAGACATGGATTGTTGACATAGGTTTGTTTTAAATATATTTACTATTAATGAAATTGTCATAGATATGTACATATATGTTTTTAAATTTTTCTCCTCAAAACTAAATGCATAAACAAGTAAATGATATATAGCTCATTTGTTTTGTTTATTAGTGCTATAGAATATATATGTGTATATATATTTGTGTGTGCACACACATTTGTGTGTGCGTGTGTGTGTGTGTGTATATGTATATATATATATATAAGAAGGCAATGGCACCCCACTCCAGTACTCTTGCCTGGAAAATCCCATGTATGGAGGGGCCTGGTAGGCTGCAGTCCATGGGGTCGCTAAGAGTCGGACCGACTGAGCGACTTCACGTTCACTTTTCACTTTCTTGAATTGGAGAAGGAAATGACAACCCACTCCAGTGTTCTTGCCTGGAGAATCCCAGGGACTGCAGAGCCTGGTGGGCTGCCGTCTATGGAGTCACACAGAATTGGACATGACTGAAGTGACTTAGCAGCAGCAGCAGTATATATATATATATATATATATATATATATGCATGCTGGTGGTCGTTTAGTCGCTCAGTTGTGTCCATTTCTAACCTAGACAGCATATTAAAAAGCAGAGACATTACTTTGCCAACAAAGGTCCGTCTAGTCAAAGCTATGGTTTTTCCAGTAGTCATGTATGGATGTGAGTTGGCCTATAAAGAATGCTGAGTGCCTAAGAACTGATGCTTTTCAACTGTGGTGTTGGAGAAGACTCTTGAGAGTCCCTTGGACTGCAAGGAGATCCAACCAGTCCATCCTAAAGGAAATCAGTCCTGAATATTCACCGGAAGGACTGATGTTGAAGCTGAAACTCCAATACTTTGGCCACCTGATGTGAAGAAGTGACTTATTGGAAAGGACCCTGATGCTGGGAAAGGTTGAAGGCGGGAAGAGAAGGGGACGCCAGAGGATGAGATGGTTGGATGGCATCACCGACTTGATGAACAAGTTTGAGCAAGGTCTGGGAGTTAGTGATGAACAGGAAAGCCTGGTGTGCTGCAGTGAATGGAGTCGCAAAGTGTCAGATGTGACTGAGCAACTGAACTGAACTGAACTGAACTTGCAACCCCATGGATTGTGGCTCTGAACAGACAAACCTGAGTCCCACAGTTTGCTCCAACACATCTTAGCTCTGCGACCTTAGGCAAGTCAAGAACCTTTCTGAACTCACTTTGGCTTCATGGCGGGGGGTGGAGGGGGAAACTTATGTAGAATGGTTCTAAAGACTTCATCTCTGGAACCAGATTATCTGGGTCTGAATCCCAGGCCCACGAGTGACTCTTCTCTTTGTGCCTCAGTTTTCCCAGCTGCCAAATGGGAATCGGACCAGTTCCCACCTCATAGTGATGCTGTGAGGATGAAACAAGCTCTAACAAGAAGTTAGGGAATATCAAGAGCTTAAAGGGCTGCTTGAAACAGAGTTATTAAAATGACTCTAAAACAGGAATCATAGTAAGATCCACCATAGAGGGCTGTGGTGAGGTAGAGATGGGGTACTGCATGTGAAGCAGGGATATCCCACCCTGACACCCAAGCGCTGCATTGATATGGCAGCCACGGGAGCTGGCATTTTGCCTCCAGTGGCCTGCCCACTCCCAGGGCCCAAACCCCGCTCCCCGAGGCTCCTCAGCACGGGGACCTGGGGGTGTGGTCCCGGGCAGATGAAGAGTTGAGGCTCTGCTGCAGCCTGAAGTCGCCGGGGCCGCATGCCCCACGCCCCGGGAGGCCCAGCTCTGGCTGCACCCGGGCCAGGACCGTTCTGCTGCGCCACCTCCAGCTGCCAGATGTTGTTCTAAGCAGAGCTCTCTGATCTGCTGCCAGGCCTTGGGCAACGGAGGCGAGGTGTGCTGGGATCCAGGCGAGGCCCCCCCACCCGGGGTGAGGGCCTGCTGTCCCTGCAGCGGTGCCAGCCCAGAGCCGGGGGGCATGCGCCGGGGGACGGGGCCGCCTGAGCCTCGCAGCCAGGAAGGCAGAAAACACTTCACAGCCATAGGGGGCTCCCCACTCAGGGGGCACTCACCCCCAACCGCAGGCCCACAGGCGCACTCGGCCGACTGAGAACACTCACGGCCTCACGGTACACAGAAGGGAGGGCAGAGGAGAAAAAAGGAAGTTGAGGAGAAAAAGAAGAGAGGCCAAGTGACATGGAAAGAGAGGCAGGGACACTCGCTGGGCAAGCTTGGGCTCGGGAGCCGGTGTCATGGCCTTTTCAAACCGGGGACCTCCCTCCGACTGGGCCCACGGGGCAGATTGTGGGAAAAGACCCACTTAGGAGCAGCTCCTTCCAGAAAAACCCAGGGTGGCAGCACTTTCCATCACATTAAGTCTTCCTCCAGGAAATACAGGGTTTTCATCATCTCTGCCAACCCTTGCAGCCTCCAATTCCCCAGTCTGTCCCTATGAAGGGAGGGGGGCCAAGACTGTCCACCGCCCTCCCCATTCCCAGGCCACTTGTGTCTCCTTGGCCTGCTCCAAGGATCCAAGGGGATGTTGCCAGATATATCCAGGGCCCAGGCCTCTTGGGGACTTCCCTTCTGCCGAGAACAGCTAACCACGGGGATGCTTGCCCAGAACACAGGGGAGGAAAGTCGTTGGGACACACTTAAGTCAAAAAAGTACATGTTGTTTATCTGAAATTCAAATTTAACTGGGCTTTTTGTATTTTTATTGGCTAAATCTGGCCACCCCAGACAGACAGCTCCAACCTGAGTTCAGTGGCTGAAATGGGGAGTTTTTGTTAAATCACTTCAGTTGTGTCTGACTCTTTAAAACCCATGGACTGTGGCCCGCCAGGCTCCTCCGTCCATGGGAGTATCCAAGCAAGAATACTGGAGTGGGTTGCCATTTCCTGCTCCTGGGGATCTTCCCAGCCCAGGCATTGAACATGAGTCTCTTGCGTCTCCTGCATTGGCAGGCGGGTTCTTTATCAGGAGAAAACAAGTATTTCAGACTCCCACCCTATCACATGGATCATAGGAAGGTCCGCCCGCTTGGCAGAGCTGGAGTTGGACCACCCAGCCAAACAGTCGGGTGATTTTTATTCTCTGGTGAGAAAGGGACAAAGAGAGGAAATTGAGCTCTTGGTTAAGCTGATGCTAGGTCAGGCATTCACTGAAGACCAAGTGTATCCACCCCAGATCTGTGCTGGCCATTTGCTGACATCGTTTCACTGAAGGTTGATGACCATCTAAGGAGCAGTGCCTGTGTTTCTGTCTCTACATGGCAGACTCCCTCCATATCAGCACAGAAGCTGAGCCTGCAAGAGCCCTGGCCACAGGCTGTAGGGCTAAACTTGATGCTGGCTGACTCTGCTGGGGGCTGCAAGTCCTGCCCTTCTCTCTCTGTACCTTTATACTGTCCCTGTTCCCAAAATGAACCCCCAGTGTGCCTGCTCCCCCAGATGAGTCTGAATCCAAAGGCAAACATGGGAGGTGATGAGGGAGAAAACCTTAGTCCAAGAGGCTCAGGTGGGAAAGTGTGGGTTGGTGACAACCGGCCCTGAGTCAGAATCCCAGCTCTGTCATTGCCTATGTGACGCGGCGCAAGTGACGTGCGACTGTTTGTGCTTCCGTTTCATTTGCTAAATAATTGGGATAATAACACACACAGCATCGGTAGTTAGGATTTAATGAGAGAAGGCAGGAGAAGCAGGTACCCATCAATTGAGCTATTATCTCCCTCAAAGGATGGTTGGAGAGGAATAAAAGGGATGCGAAGTGAAGAGTTGTAGTAGATGTTTCATAAACGGTAATTATGACCATTGTTACCAACCCCCTTCGGGAATGGGTTGTGCATTTCCCAAAAGCCTCTCAAAACTCCTGTTCTTATCGCAGAGCATTGGATAAATGACTCCTTTGATAAACTAGCTTTTCACCTGGGGAAACTGGTTTGCTTATCCTACCCAGGTTCAGATGACTGAAAATCAATGTGATTTGACAGCTGTGGAAAAAAGCGAACTGCACGTATAGGCCGATGAGCTGCAGAGCTCATTGGTGCTGCTACAGAGCGAGCCCGCTGAAGTGGCTGCTGTCCGTGACCCCGCCGCCCGCTCCCTGTTCGGGCCACCAGCCTGGCCCCCCATCAATCGCTGGTAGGAGCGGAGGTCTCGCTGCCTCCCTGATGCCGCCACCTCCTCTGTGGCCTGCAGGAGCACCCGGGAGTCCAGGTGCTGGGGCCCTGGCCTTGCAAACTTGCGCCCCACACCTGCAAGGTGAGGAGCGTTCTCTGCTGCCTACAGCAAGGTCAGCAGCTACTGGCAAGGAAGGGCCGCTGGGATCTGAGAGCTGCAGCTGCTCCTGAGATCAGGGAAGGCAAAAGGTCAGTGCATCCCCTACCTCTTCCCAGAGAACTGAGGGCTTCATTCCCGGCCCCTCCTGCCTCATTCACCACCCCAAGCCCGTACTTCCAGATCCCCACACTATTCCTGCGTTCCCGTCAGTCCATCTGTGTAGCCCTTGGAATGACACGCCCTCGAAGGCCACAAAGCCCAGGGCAGCCACCTAGTGTGACTCCGGAGGCCCTCAGCCGGAGTCATTGTCGAGTGGGGGGAATAAACCAGCCTTAGCGCTTCCTGCTGAGGACCAAGGGGCGCGTGAAAGTGAAGGGGCTTTCTTTGGGGCTGGGCTTGCCTTCAGATGAGGGTTTTGGGGAATCCGCCGTGCTCTGGGACTCTGGGAATGCTCTCCGTGTAAGATTGGGGATGTTACTCACTGGCCTTCTCCTCCTTCTGGCTGTTTTTCTGTGCGTCCTGACTTTTTTCCACTTGCTACAGGGGAGGGTAGAATTGTCACTGGGTCAGCGCCGCTGGAGACCATTCTCTCTGAGTTCTTAGCATAAGTAACCCAGGAACCGAGCTGAGGAATCCGGCTACTTACTATCCTCCCTACGATCTTGTTTTAAATTAGCTGCTGAGTCATCGTTAATCATTACGAAATAAATAAATCCTATGGCTGCTTTCCCCACCACACCAAGTTGCCCTAGGAAGAAATAGCGTCTTCTTTAGACCATACCTGCCCCTGAAGACATCCATCTTTACTTTTATATTCTCTGTCCCACTACCCCTGCCCCCCTGGTCTTCATATGTCTTGAACTACTTTCCTGATCAGCAAGTCACATGGCCTTTAGGTTATTATCTGTTTCAGCTGCTCTGCAAGACACTTGCCTGTTTCTCTAGCTACAGCCCATGTGAAATCCTGTCTACCACTTGGCCTTTATTTTAAGCCAGATCTAAAGACACCATTCCGGAGAAGGCAATGGCACCCCACTCCAGTGCTCTTGCCTGGAAAATCCCATGGACGGAGGAGCCTGGTAGGCTGCAGTCCATGGGGTCGTGAAGAGTCGGACATGGCTGAGCGACATCACTTTCACTTTTCTGCATTGGAGAAGGAAATGGCAGCCCACTCCAGTGTTCTTGCCTGGAGAATCCCAGGGATGGGGTCACACAGAGTCGGACACAACTGAAGTGACTTAGCAGTAGCAGTAGCAAAGACACCATTCAAGTTTGGTGAACATCCATCTACCCAGTTTCATCTGCACAAAAAAAGAGACTTGTTTTATTTCAGAGATAAATGTGACTGTCTCCAGCCTGGAGGAAAGGCTGCATCAGACAACCATGACAAGTCCCCTAACTGTGTTCCAGGAAGGTGCCAGTTACTTGCGATATATTGACAATAGGTTTCAAGCAGTGAAAACGGACTGCGTGTTAAATGTCTTAACATGTTTAATCACCAATACCGCCAACAAAGTTTAGGTACGATTATCATCTCACCTTAGAGATGAGGCGAGTGAGGCTAGAAGAGACAAAGTCATTTGCTCAGAACCAAGGGCTAATGAGAGCCAGGATTCAAAGCAAGTCCTTTAAAACACTTTCTACCAGCCCTGCTAATTAACTCACAGTGCATTTGTGAGGACTAAAGGCCCGTGAGCTGTGTACTGGAGCTACCCTCGTTTTCCAAGGGAGGGGCAAACTCTGGGAGCCTTAGGTATGATGAGTTGACTGAGGAGCGATGAAAGGTGTTCTCCAGCCTCATCATCCAGGAGGGGCCTGGGAGCTGTCACGCCCCAGCCTCGTGGCGGTTGAAGAAGACTCTGCTTGTGATTGTGCCCGAGATTGTTTAATTAATTGCAGGGCTCACCTGTCACCTCATCTGCCTTCGTGAAGTGTGTCTTTCATCTTGGATCTCCAAAGCGGGTGTAAAAGCTGTAATTAGTCATAATGATTGTTGTTGTTGTTTAATAGTTACCTGCTATAATGTCCCTTTGAGAGTCTCTTGGACTGCAAGGAGATCCAGCCAGTCCATCCTAAAGGAGATCAGTCCTGGGTGTTCATTGGAAGGTCTGACGCTGAGGCTGAAACTCCAATACTTTGGCCACCTCATGCGAAGAGTTGACTCATTGGAAAAGTCCCCGAGGCTGGGAGGGTTGGGGAAAGGAGGAGAAGGGGACGACAGAGGATGAGATGGCTGTATGGCATCACCGACTTGATGGACATGAGTTTGAGTAAACTCTGGGAGTTAGTGATGGACAGGGAGGCCTGGTGTGCTGCGATTCATGGGGTCGCAGAGTCGGGCACGACTGAGCGACTGAACTAATTAACTAATAATGTCCCTTTGACAGGTGAAGGTGCTGGGGCTTTGGGTCAGAGGGAGATGCTAAACGCGGAGACCCAAGACGTGAACGAGCCAAGGTCCTCCATTCCTGGGAAGCTTTTTGGAAGGCTTAGCCATGCCATGAAACAAAGAACTGCCCTCGGCATACAAGCCCATCTTTTCTTGTCTTGGGGGCAGTTCACATTCCTTTATGGATAGAGGAGAGTGGTCGCTTTCCCTGGCATTTTTAAAACAGGTGTAAATAATCCAACAAAGGTCCGTCTAGTCAAGGCTATGGTTTTTCCAGTGGTCATGTATGGATGTGAGAGTTGGACTATAAA